TGCCTGCGTGCGTGCATGCCTGCCTGCCTGCGTGCCTGCCTGCCTGCGTGCCTGTCTGCGTGCATGCCTGCCTGCCTGCGTGCCTGCCTGCGTGCATGCCTGCCTGCCTGCGTGCGTGCCTGCCTGCCTGCCTGTGTGCCATCTATGAGAAATGCCTGAGTTTGTTTGTAGACTCATATGAATTGTCCTCTCTTATTATGGTCAGTGGAGAAAAGAGTAATCAAGGGCTTGCATTCACTGAGCCAACACGAGATGCCTTATTTTGAGTGCTTACCATATAAAGACCCACACTGCCACAGCTCCCATCTAAAAACCGTGGTTATATCCAACTGCTTCATTCCAGAGCTCCCCAGCTCAACTTCCATTGGCTTTAACAGGGAATGATTAGGCTGTTTATGTTACATGTGAAGCAGCTGTTGGTTTACATGTCACTGCCCTTGCCGAGTTCATCGCTACACAAGCAACTATCAACTGCTCCTGTCTTCTTGTGCTTTCATGAAGTTTGAAGTCACCTGCTTCCTCCAAACAAGCCTTACAAATAAGTTGACCCACCCCCCATATTAAACCAGGGCTGTTCCAATCAGGGTCCTCAAAGGCCGAGCACGGCTGATTTTCTAGCCTTACTTTCCCTGTGAACCAGGTATGAAGCCTCTGTGGCCAATCAGAATCAGTAACTATTAAACTAGCTACCTGGGAGAACTGATAACGTGGCCTGGATTTGGAATCAAGTGCCAGATTTGAAGAGCCCTGTATTAATCCATTAAACTCAGTTACAAGGACAGAAAGTCATGTATTACTCGATTATGATTATGATTACGATTACGGTTGTGATTATGATTATGATTATTACTGAATGTGTTATTATTTTGTCTTCTGCTGTTTGATTTCAGCCGGGACTATGTTGACAAAAGGGAGGAGGTCAGACAAGCCCGTGAGGAGAGGTAGGTGCATTTTTCTATCCATTGCACTCCATATTCAACCATTTCAGTTTGTACAGGAAAGTGAAAATCCTCAGCACACATTCAGATGTGGGCACGCTGGCCCCCTAAATTAATTTGGTGATAATAAATTTGGTTAATTAAGTCCTCAGGCTACTAGGTAAATATGTACTCTCCCACTTTCACATATGCATAAATAGGTAAAAAGAATGTGAGCTTATGAATGTGTGCATAATGAATCAAAAGATGCCAATTGTCAGCCCATGCCTACAGCTCACAGCTGTTTTCCAGGAACAGATAACAGATGCTGGGTCCTTTAAGGTAATAGAATGGAAGTTCTTGATAATTTATGGTTCTGACAGTTTATCGGTGTCTGTAGCATATGAAGACGTTCTGCATAAACATGACAAGGCTTTGCAAGTGAACCCAGATAAAGATAAACTTTGTGTGCATAACCTAAAATACCTCTGTGTTACTGTGAGTTTCTCTTTATCTTTTTGAGAGAATACCTTGTCTTTGATATTATAATATTTCAGTGGGGTTTTATCACCTTGTAATTAGCTTATAAAGTAATTTTCCAAAATGAAAACCTGAAATGGGACGATGTGCCTGACAACAGACATCCTTCATATCCTACCCTGTTTCATGTCTCATGTACCAGAGCACAAATGCAAGAAACAGAAAACTGTTACCTTTTCGGACACAAAGTTTTTAGTAATTCTTTGGCCTTTAAATTCTGACCTGCAGTCTGAGGTTTGGTGGGATTTGACCCAAGTCGCTTGTGGGGTTGAACAGAGAAGCAGGATGAACCACCATCTCATTGGGGTGGCACCGTCTCAGACGTCAAAAACATTGGGTGGAGTTTGTGGAGAAGGGACAAAAAGGGCATCAGTTATTCGTTATTATCATGAGATGTTATGAGATCAGTTATCTGATGACGGAGGTCTGTGGTGTAGATGGCGCATTGTGAAAACGTTACAGCCGAGTTTCTTATAGCAGTCTTCCCCAACCTGGTCCTCGGAGACCTCCAGATGATCCACATTTTTGCCTCCTCCCAGCTCCCGGTAGAGATATAAATCAGAACATCAATCGATGAACAAAACCACAATAATAACATGGCTGTCAAATTAATATCTACTAAGGTGTTTCCTACATAGATACTCTTCAGGTTCATACTGTCATCCCGTGTGAGGCTTTCTGTGTCTCCTAAGCGAGCCTCAGCTTTCAGCTAGAGACCCGTCTCCTGTCTCTGCAGGTACAAGCAGGTGGAGAAGCTGGCAGCGGCGGAGTACGAGATAGAGCGTCAGCGGACAGCCCCTCGGGGCCGCAGTGAGCTCACCCTGTCACTGAGTCCACGCCGCTCCAGCCCCGGCTTGCCGTCCATCTGTGCGACCCCGTCACCCGTGGAGCCCCGGCAGGAAGCCTCAGCACGCTCGCTCTCAGCACGCTCGCCCTCAGCACGCTCGCCCTCAGCACGCTCGCCCTCAGGTCAAGGTGTGCATCGAGCTTTCGTTTTCTGTCATAGCATTATGACTGCCATGCCAAACTGTCCAAGGTCAAACGTGCTATAAATTATCCATGAGGGGATTCTCAATTGTTCAAGAAAGTTTAAACCTTAACAAAAATAACGTTCAATCATGGGCTTAGGAACCAGAAGGAATGTGGGGGGGGGGGTTTGCCCCCTAGTATTTAATTTGGCTTCAATCACCCCCCCCCCCCAAAAAAAAACCAAAAAAAACCTTTGCACCCCCCCCCACAATATCAACCTCTCATATGCCATTATGCCCAATAGTTGTCATTATATCAGATTTCATCAGTTATTGTAACATTCTTTCAGACACCTACTATCCTCTGCATTAATTAAATATGCTTTTGTTTTTTGCATGCGCTTGGTTGCTCGTCACAGAATAAATATTGCTCATGTGATTTGTCTTTTATAAATGCACACTTCACGCCAAGCCTGTCAGCCGGGCTTCTCAGATATGGTGTGACACTCCTCCATGTCACTACATCCCGCTTCCAGTTCAGCATATTTCATACAGTATTTTTGTCGTACTGTTTCCACTGAAGATATACCTCTTTAAGTAACGGGACAGTTACAGCAGTAAGTCCCTTTTAGCTGTGAAGATGTGAAATCAGATATGCATATTTCTTTAAATGGATTGAAGTTTTAGTAAATCTGAATGATGTACTGAGATGCTCAAAACTTGAACAGTGGTTCACAAGGGTTGAGCTGTGTCTTATAAAACAGCCTTTCGTCTGTCTTCATCTCTGGTACAGTAGTTAGGGAAAATGCTGAAAGCTTTGCCCATTCTAAGACTCATCCTGTTTGTTCCCTTCGGGTCCTACATGCACCTTTGTAACTCGTACGTTTGACCTTGGTTAGCAGAAGGTTCTTGAAAAGCACAAGAAACTCAAAGTTGCTTTTCCAGTCTAAGACAGAAATGAAAGTGTACAGCCGTGTCTTTAAGGGAGAGGGGTATATGTTAGAGACGGCTTCACCGAGCATCCCGCCAGTCACGCGCGCTGGTTTGCTCATTAGCACTTTGTGAGTGCCTTTGGCAGGAAAACGTCATACCACATTTCATGGCAGTGTTTGCCATTGTCATCCATCCGCACAGCAGCACAGAACCAGAAGCCCACACAGGACATGAGCTTTACCCTTTTCCAGCATGACAGACAATCTGTAAGGAGTCATAATGAAAGCGTTGAGTAATCTAAGGGAAAAAACACACACATAAATAGATAAACATGAGTGTTTGCTTTGGCTTGTCTGAGGGCAAAGCCTAGTAATTTGATGACAAAGTGGAACATTTCAGGATCTGGATGTGCGACAGAGAGAAGCCACATCCATGATTCGTCCGTGACTGCTGAGCTGGTCAGGCGGTGGTTACTGTGCACTTTCCACACAAAATCTGAGGCTTAATGCAGCCAGCATCCCTGAACTTCTCTGATCTTCTCCACTGAAGAAAAAGTGGGAGAAGGACAGGGTGCCCCAACAGTCGGAGACGAAATAAGTTCACAAGATGTGTGTACGTTTTCCCAGGTAGACAGTTCCGTTTAGCATAGCAGGACATCTTAGTTACATGCTTAGCTTTCAGAAGAGAAGATCCATTGCTACTATAAAGAATAATAATTAAAAAGTATCATAATAATCATCTGAATGATCAGTTGCATGGAAATTGTACCAGAAGTGGTTATACTTTCGTTTAATCATAAAAAAATTATGATGTTTCTTTCTTAGTCCGTGATGGACACCATGCATTAAACCAGGAGTCCAGAACTGGTGAGGAACCCGAGACGAAGGTGGCAGGATCTTCTTCGGAGTCGGTGGAGGAGGAGGTATCGGACAGAAGGGATGTCGGGCGGAAGGTAGAGCAGAAAGTACAAGAGGGAAAGCCGTTGGTGAAGAAAGAGGGGGAAGAAAGAGATGAGGAAGACGTGAGGTGCGAACGAGCGATGGTGCCGAGTGCAGAGGTAGAGGGGGGGCGAGAGCAGGGACCAGAGCGGGACGGTGAGGACGCCGCCCCTTTGAGCGAGAAGGAGAGGCAGAACGAGGAGCTCAATGAGAAGGACAACTGCTCAGCATCCAGCATCTCATCAGCCAGCAGCACTTTGGAGAGGGAGGAGCGGGAGGAGAAACCCACCAGCGACACGGAAACAGGTGCGGGGGCTGCTCCATCCTGCGGGGGTCATTGGTGTGGAGACTGATCTCTCCTTCATTGCAAATGAAGTCAACATCACAGGTAGCCTTCAGCTGAGGGCTAGTTATGGCTTTTGTGATTTAATGAGGATTTAAATTACACTCATTCATAATTATAGTTTTATTTATGTATTTTTGTATTTCTATATTTATTTAATGCATATGAATTATTGATCAAAGGTAAATAATAATTTTCTGTGATATGAACTTAATTTTATGTGTTTCTTTGCAATTCCAGAGACGTGGTCACAGAGCATTAAGGATGCAGACGTGAATGAACAATGTAGTAAAGTTCTCAATAGCAAACTCTTTATGTTGGACATGCTTTATTCCCAAAACAAACCTGCTATGGAGAATGAGGAGAAGGACGGTGAAAAGGGCCGAGAACGGAAGGCGTGTGAAGGCCAAGACCCGTTCGTGACAAACCTGGCCAGCAGGATCTCTACACTGGAGGCCAACCGGCAAGCTTCAGAGGAGAACGTGAAGAAGATGGACGTCGAGCATCTGGACAACCAGGGCTGTGTCCGGGCTGTTGCTGAGAAGTTTGGCGATTTGGTGAAGGGGCTGGTGTCCCCACCAGAACCTGAGGTACCGGAAAGGCAGCCGGCGCAGCCAGACCGGACTATACACTCCGCTTCACCGCTTCCTGCTAAGAAGGAGTCCGATCACATCTGGGACCAGCTGATGGCAAGTCCACGAGAACTCCGCATCAAAGACATGGACTTCACCGATTTGATGGAGGAGGACGACCTGGACATCCTGGATGTGGGTAACATGGGATCTGGAGACCTGAGAGACTTGGCACCACCCCCACCCCCTCCTCCCTGTCTCAACTCCTTGCCGCCCCCTCCTCCCTTGTTGGGGTGTCCTGCACCCCCTCCAATCCCGGGCATGATGCCTCCACCCCCACCCTTTTCTTCAGCAGTGCCACCCCCACAGCTGCACCTCAGATCCCCACATCTGGGTCTGGGTGAGCCCCCCGCATTTGTAAAGAAAAAGAAGACGATCCGCTTATTCTGGAATGAGGTCCGACCTGTGGATTGGCAGCACCGTAACCACAAGCACCGCAAGGACTCACTGTGGTCCAAATTGGACCCTGTCAAGGTTGACACGTCCAAACTGGAGCACCTCTTTGAATCTAAGTCCAAGGAGCTACCTGTCACCAAGGTAAGGATATACGGATTTAAATATCAGCCTGTTAGCATCACACCGATCCTCTACGAAATTTTGCAGCAGTGAAATTTGACCATAGTTGAATTTCCTTTTATTGATCTCTTTGGAGATGTTTGCATTGAGTAGCTGATTGTAGAATTACAGCTGATGGGCTAATTTGCATTCCACTCTGCAAAAATAATATGGGAACGGGATTTTTTTGGTCCGTGAGCATTAGTGCCACCTAGTGGTTTGACTCCATGCTTTAGGCCAAGGTTTCTCAACCCAGTCCTCGGGGACCACCAGACGGTCCACGTTTTTGCTCTCTCCCAATTCCCTGCCAATTGGGAGAGAGCAAAAACGTGGACCGTCTGGTGGTCCCCGAGGACTGGGTTGAGAAACCTTGCTTTAGGCAACACTTTTAGTGGGGTGGTCGAGTGGGTCATAAAATAAGTGCTTGCCAGTCCGACATATGTTTATTTTTTTGGGATTGGTTTGCTCGCATGGAGTGGGTTGTTTTTTTGATGGAGAAAGCTAACCCTAAGCCAGCTGTTAGCATGATTAGAATGAAAAGCGCTGATAACATTAATTACTGTGGCCTGTTTAATCTCAGGCATTATATCCACAAACAACTGTAAACCATGGAATGCATTCTATCGGTTTTTAAATAATTGTTCTGTTGGGTTGGACATAATAGCTAAAAGGCTGGAATTCAAGGGACTATGTCCACCAACATGCTGTGTGTATTGTACCGCATTGTATCACTCTTGACAATATTTAACCAATCTGAGCCAAATTTATCTCTAGGTCTATACAAATGCGGAAAGTTATAAACATGCGATATGAAATGTAGGTCAAGTCCATCCCACATCAGAAAATGTAAGTGTGATAGAAATGAAAACGTATGGATTACAGATAAGACTGTATGCCTTGGCTTAAAAGTGCTTTTAGTCACTCAGAAGCTGTGTATAAATCAGTGAAAACATATTCATTTTCTGGAAGCCACACAGGTTCACTTGGTCCAGATCACATTAGTGTTTTCAGTTTTGATATTTAGCAGCATGATTTTTTGGAGAACGAAAGTTAACACACGACCTGCTAACATCTACGTGGGGATTATATAGGCCGTTATATACTTTTCTTTCTTTCATATACTGTATGGTAAGATTCCGAAACCACAGACAGTATGGTTTATTTCACCTTTTGAAATAAAGGTTTGTTGTATTCGGATGCTTGACATTCTCCATAAATGCTAATTATTCTAACAGGGCTAAAAACTTAAAACTAAAAAGCAGATTGTGATTATCATACATATCATAACGTATGTCACACCTCATTTTTCCTTTGTCTGCATAAATTAACACGCAGTTCATCTTTAGAGATGGTGAATTGCTAAAGAAAAAGGGAAACGTTTTGAAACATCTGGTGAAGTAATACATTAACATCCGTATGGAGTCCATTACTCACTCATGTACTCGTCATGTACTCACTCATGTACTCACTCATGTACTCGTCATGTACTCACTCATGTACTCGTACTCATCCTCATGACAATGCGCCAATGCTGATAAACAGTACCATGAGATGACATATCAGCAATATTGTTAACGAAATAGACAGGGCCACAAAATGTTTGTGGTGTGGAAATACTTCAGAATTAACAACAAAAACCAAAACATGGTGGACTGCGAGCTCTGTTCTCTGCTAAAATAGCAGGAGGAGGTACAAATCAAGTTCATGGTACAGAAGTAATCTGATTAAATCAAGTTCGCTGATCCATTGATTACCAGAGAAACTAAAAAAAACAATGGTCAGCACTGCAGTTTAGCAGCGGAGTAGCGGGAGGAAACTCCACGACAACACAAGGAGACCACCCTCTACCGGGGAAACACGAGGCGACCACCCTCTACCGGGGAAACACGAGGAGACCACCCTCTACCGGGGAAACACGAGGCGACCACCCTCTACCGGGGAAACACGAGGCGACCACCCTCTACCGGGGACATGGCGTAGACTTGGGCCCCGGTCCCAGAGGTGTGAGGCGACAGTGCTAACCATGTCGCCCATATGTCACTCGGGGTGTGACGTATCATCCAGTGCCTTCCACGTGTCATGTTTCAAAACAGTTCAGCCCCATGGGAGATGGGACAAGCCCGCATCTGCTCAGGGAGTCACCCAGGCTCCCGTCATGTGTGTGCAGCCTGAAGCATCATGGGAAGGACAAGTCACTCTGGCAACCGTGTGCAGCTCAAGGGAAAATGTATCGTTACCAGCAAGCTGCTGGGAGTTTTAAGGACACATGTAATCTGTCCTTTTCTACTAATACTTCACACGACCTCTGAAAATGAATATAGCAAATCTTATAGGCGGTGGCTCTCTAGCACAGTGGGTAACAGTTCAGCAGGCATCCCACACAGGGTATCCCCTGCCTTGTGTGCTGTGCTTCCTGGGATAGGCTCCAGGCCTCACGTGCACCGTGTGCCGGATAAGCCATTGTGGGAGATTGTTGTAAATTTTATTGAGAAGCATAATATTTATGATTTGGGATTCTGATAGACAGAAAGCGCGCACGCATATTGGAGTCCAGCTGTTCAGAGTGGCAAATGCTGCGTTTTAATGCGAAACACGGTTGCCTCCAGGGTTTGCCCGTCGTTCACAGGCAGCTGCTGTCAATTTTGACCAGCTGGCAATCCCAGAATGCACTGCACTCCCACTTCTGAAAGGTGGCCATGCCGTCCTCATAGAAGCGCAAATGAAAACAATGCACTTTTTTCAGGTGCCTGTTGGTATCCGGGTGGAAGCGTTTATAGTAATTACAGTTTTTAGTGACACAGGAGGGCTCATCCTTCTGAGCTGACCACATCAAAAGCAGTATTCTCCACCTGTGTTTCTCTATGGGTATGTCTGACTTAGCCCTAGAAAATTCCGTCGTCGCTAAGCATTGTGATTAATTAAACAGTATAAAACATAGTCTGCATTTGCAAGATGTACTGTAGGATTATGGAACATCAAAGCTTCATGGGGGGTAAATAAATTAAGGTGGTGAGCATCTGTCTGTGGGTGCAAGTGACAACAGTCATGGAGGGGTGTCTGTAGACCAGACGAGCTTCACAGCAGATAAAGCAGATCAGAGCTGCAGTCACACAGCCCACCTAGCGAGCACACAGCATCCTGACTGTAAGCGCTGCTTCTCCAAAATATGAAGTGGGTCTGTTTCAGCTTTGACATTCTGTGTTTGGTTCAGGTGGACTGAGAGAAGACACTTTCCAAACAAACACAACTTCACTGGCCACATATAAACCGTGTATTTTTGTGTGTTTATCTGAAAATAGTTTGCAGAGAAGAGAGACACAGGAAGTTGTTTGCTTTTCAGGCTTTTGTTTTGTTCTTCGTTTATTGTTCTTTTTTCTCAGTTGTGTTATGTGTTTGTTTAGTCTGGGACGGGGATTGTCTGTGCGCCTTTTTCTCATTTTTGTCTGTCTACTGTTAGTATTTAATTATTCCCGCTAAGATGCTCTGTAGCTTGATGTTGACAGTCATGAGGGGGTGGATTCTGTATAGTCCTTAGGCGGGTGTTATTTTTTGACAGGTTCCCCCTATGACTGATATTTTTCCTGAAACCCCCCCCCCCCCAGGAATGATATTTGTCCTGAAACCCCACACACCCACACGCACACACACACGCCCACACACACACACCCACACACACACGCACATGTAGGGTAAACATATCCTTATGGGGACCGCTCATTCATTTCAATGGGAAAAATGCTAACGCTAACTATGACAACCTTAACCCCACCCTGCCCTAACCATAACCATAAGTAACCTAACAAAATACAAGAGTTTTTGCATTTTTAGCTTTTTCATAGCAGTCACCGATTTTTATAAAATGGAGTTTAAAAAAACGGATATTTATCACGTTATGGGGACATTGTGTCCCCATAAGGATAGGTAAACCCGCTCGCACGCACGCACACACACGCACGCACACACACACACACGCACACACACACAGACACACACACGCACGCACACACGCACGCACACACACACATTACCTCACAGCTCAATGGGGAGGATGTGCCTGTCTTCCAGCTCACAACTTAACAAACTCACAGGAAGTTTCTGACACTGCAAGTCTCTCTATTTTTTATATTTTTAATGGTTGCAGTTTCAAAATAGGTCAGCCCCCACCTCATACAGTTCTCTGTTTTTTGTTCCCTCACCTGCACCCCCCCACCCCCCCGCAATTCCTTCACGCCTAGCAGTTTGAATACCTCTGCCCTAGATGGTCCCATTTTTCAGTGGTATTTGTCACACTCGCTGATTGTGACGGCACTCCCGCTGATAAAATTCCTCCCAGCCGTTCAGTGTGTGTCATGTCTCCAGTGGCCGACTCTCTTCCAGGGCTGGAATAGCTCTCCATGCCCACTTGACCCCATTTCTCACGACCCCAGAAAACGGCGGCGGACGGCAAGCGTCAGGAGATCATTGTCCTGGACTCAAAGAGGAGCAATGCCATCAACATCGGCCTCACCGTGCTCCCCCCCCCGCGCACCATCAAGACGGCCATCCTGAACTTCGACGAGTACGCTTTGAACAAGGAGGGCATTGAGGTGAGAGGCCTGTGTAGCCACTCAGAGGGGCCTCTTCAGCATTCCTCCTAACATAGTCCATTGAGTAGGAGTGTGCTTGAACCCATTCAGGCTGTTTTTATGGTGACTCATTGTGCGATGAACACGTCAATCATAATGCCTAGGGTGTAGTTTATCCTTCTGAAAAAAGTACCATCTCAGTGGAGCATCTCAGAGCATTTGTTATATTTACAGTTGATCATCCAAAACCATTTTATATTCATAATTATGTCAGTTCAAGATGAATGACTTTCTAAGGGGAGACACCTGATGCTGAAACTCCTTAACACCACATTTCACAGTTATACCAGGGCAAAAGGCAGAATAAATCATATCATTTTTATTATAGACTTAAATCAGCACATAATTTCTGATTCCACAATGCCTTTTGTGCTCTGTGCTCTCTCAGTGGGATCTCTCCCATCCTGGTTCAGTCCTCTGAACGCTCCCTTTCCCAACTTCCCCGCATAGCGGAGCCGTCACACAAGGACGGAAGACTGTAAACAACACGCTGCCCTTTATCGCAACCTCTTGACCTTTAATTGTCTTTCACAGATGTGCCGAGATCATTTTTATGTCTTAGATTTGTTTTTGTTGCTTAATTTGATGCACCTTGCAGCTCGTAACAGGTAATTATATGTGAGGTCGGATTTTATACAGACAGATGTCAGATTTACTGCTCTCCCCTTCTCCTTGTTCCATGTGCTCATTAACTCCCTCCCTCTCTCTCGCTCTCCTCCCTGTAGAAAATTCTGACCATGATCCCCACAGAGGAGGAGAAGCAGAAGATCCAGGAGGCGCAGCTGGCCAACCCGGACGTCCCCCTGGGCAGCGCCGAGCAGTTCCTCCTCACCCTGTCCTCCATCAGCGAGCTCTCCGCCCGCCTGCAGCTCTGGGCCTTCAAGATGGACTACGAGGTCATGGAGAAGGTGGGAGTCTCCTGAAACGTGCTTCCTATCCACAGTCCCTCTCATACACACACTGTCATCTTCATGGAACACTGGAAACTGGAAACTTCCATAGGGAAATTGACTTCATCAAACAGTAGATTCAGTGTCTTGTGCGGGGGGCAAGATGGGGGGGGGGCCTGAACTGAAGAAGCTTGTGTGTTCTTCTGCCAGGATGGACCCCTTAGATTCTTAGAAATTTTCATTTAAAATGGCTAAATATTTATTCCTAAAATCCCTGGCAGGAGCCACTACTAAGAGCCTAATTACTCCGGGATGCAGACCCCTGAGAGGCGTATTTTAGTAGTTTACAGGGAATAACACTTAGTGCTGAAGGAGAAACACCGTAATTAGAGCCATATTTATTTGCTCTTTAATATAGCAATGATCACTGAAGCCAGAACTTTACCTCAAAGAGACCAGCTGAGGCACACCTGTTACACAGTACTTATCCCAAACAAATAGCCCTGGTCCCTCCCTCACTCCCCCCGCCGCCCACCCCATCCCACAGGAAGTAGCTGAACCACTTCAGGACCTGAAGGAAGGGATGGATCAACTGGAGAAGAACAAGACACTGCGATACATCCTGTCCACGCTACTGGCCATTGGCAACTTCCTCAACGGAACCCATGTGAGTGCCGAGTGCGGCGGGAGGTATGAGGGGCATGGGGGGGCATGGGGGGGCGAGGGAGGCTGGGCTAGGCGGGAGGCGCAGAAGGTTGGGTTCGGGAGACGCGGGAGGAGGCAAGCCGCCAAGGTTAGCAGGCTGCTTTGAGTGACATAGCGAGCTCATTAGCAGCGGAAAGGTTACATCTGAAGACTGGGTCGTGTTCCATCCATCTTCCTTACCCTTATCCAGTATGGGGGCGCAGACTGGACTGAGTTGTGTGTTTAATTTCAGAATGGAGAGGATTAGAGTGAGTGAGGCAGCAGGCGGAATCACGAGAGAGGCTTTGGGAAAGTGGGTGGGAAGATTTGTATTATGACAAGTGGCACTTTGTCATTCCATCCATACAGGGGGGTAAAGCTTCACAAGATAACGCTGCCCCAGAACCATGGCATGAACTATAAACATGTGTGCAGTATGGCCCCCGCTGCCATGACACGGCACAGGGTGCGGAAATACGTGTTACTTACGTGGGATATTTTAAGGACAATCAACACAGAGAATTACAGAGCAGAAAAATGAGTGTGTAACTAAATTATCTGTAAATGAACTGTAAATCATAATGACAAAACGTAGCAATAAAGTTTGATTAACAATAAATAATACAGTGATTGTAATGCAGTGACTGTAATGCAGTGACTGTAATGCAGTGACTGGTGCCACAGGGGAGGGAGGCATGTCCTTTAAGATGGGGGGCAGAAAAGAAGAAGCTGTCCCAGCATCTGGCAGATTCACTTCTTGTGTTTTTCCTTAATTTTTTTTGCTTTTGTGTTTATCCTCAGGCCAAGGGCTTTGAACTGAGCTACCTAGAGAAGGTTCCGGAAGTGAAGGACACAGTGCACAAGCAGTCCCTGCTGCATCATGCCTGCGCCATCGTCGCAGAGAACTTCCCCGACAGCTCCGACCTCTACTCCGAGATCGGGGCCATCACACGGTCAGCAAAGGTACCACAGGCCACGTAACTAGCAAAAACAGACCAACCCCTGGGAAATGATAGTTTCTTTTTTAAAATACATATAATTACACTATTAGCCACTGGAATCACTGTGTTTATTATTTAATTCATTTTGTTTGGTGTAAGTTACTAAGTTTTGAAGTTACATTCCTCTAACCTTGTTTTTCTCATTGAATATGTTTAGTATATGATTTTAATGAACTCCTCAGAAATTTTTCAGGAATACATCTTGCTTTGTCGCAATGTTTACTGTTTACCTAAACCGCAGTGTAATTGGAAATCATGCTGACATATTGATGGTAATGCTGAGTTTATATGCTTCCAATTTATCAATATGATAAATGGAGATTAACCTGGTTATCCACAGGAATCTAGTTGCACATACACTGCTATAAAACTGCATTCCTTTGGCTTAATATATTTTAGTTCATTTACCGTGCGGATCACATCTGGGCCCAAGCCTGTTTTTGCTCCACAGACTGACAGCCTCATCCATTAACAATGATACTTTTTAAAGTACATCTATCAAGCTTTATTGCTCTTTACCAGTGTTTCCGAATCCGGTCCTCAGGGACCCACAGTCGGTCCATGTTTTTGCTCCCACTGATCTCTCTAGCAGATTGTCCACATTTGTGCTCCCTCTCAGCTCATAAGGAAACACCTTAGTACATATTAATTTGAAAGTCATGTTATTATTATTGTGGTATTGTTCATTGATTGGTGTTCTGTTTCATGTCCCTGCGGCTGGGAGAGAGCAAAACTGTGGACTGCTGTGGGTCTCCAAGAACCGGATTGGGAAACAGTGCTCTTTACAGTGCTCCCCAAATCCTTTGCAGTACTGTATTAGACTTGGCACCCTGCACTACTCCCCATACCGCTGCGGATTCTCTCTGCTGCGTTACGCTCCCCTGCTGCGCTGCTGATAGGTTCTTAGAAGGTGCTGATGTAACAGCCAGAGGAATTCCAGGGAGACTGACCCCGCTGCCTCTATCCAAGAATGCTGGTCCTGCTTAATCATGGTTGACTGGTGATAGAACCCAGGCTCAAACCGGGTCTGACCTAGAGGCCCCGCCTGCACAAGGGACGGTCACTCTCACAGGATGAGCTCCTTGGGAATGTTGTGTGCGCGTTGGATGTTATCCCATACTGTCACGTGGCAGTATGAGTTTGACCACTGAGGATGTGTCTTCCTTTTCTTCAGGTCGACTTTGACCAGCTACAGGAGAGCCTCGTTCAGATGGAGAAGCGGTGCAAGGCATCATGGGACCACCTGAAACTCATCACTAAGCACGAGATGAAGCCAGCACTGAAACAGAAGATGTCGGAGTTCCTTAAGGACTGCGCCGAGAGAATAATCATCTTGAAAATTGTACATCGTAGAATAATCAACCGGTATGCTTTACATGTAACAGTTCCGTAATCTTATTGATAAATATTACATTAGTTGTGAAAGCTGATGAGCATCACCTGAAACAACGAGTGCTTTGCTGTTTTTATGTAGCTGTTTATGTCATTTCTGCATACAGGTTCCACACGTTCTTGCTGTTCCTGGGCTACCCTGCCTACGCGGTGCGCGAGGTGAGCGTCCACCGCTTCAGCAAGACCGTGAGCGAGTTCGCCCTGGAGTACCGGACCACACGCGACCGCGTGCTGCAGCAGAAGCAGAAGAGGGCCAGCCACCGGGAGAGGAACAAGACCCGGGGCAAGATGATCACGGAAGTGAGTCTCAATCCTCAGACACATCGGTGGCCGTTCAGTCTGGGCCCTGAGGATAATGAAGAGGGATGTGTACAGGGGTGGGGCCACAGCTGCATTGAAAGCTGAAAGCTGATTGGCTCTTTGAGTGCCCCCTTCCCTGTCACTCACTGATTCGAACATTTAATTGGCAAATGATGAGGTTGGCCCCCTGTTATGCTCCACATCTTAAAAAAATCCTATAATCATCCCTAATGGTGAAAACACTCTTACTCATTTATTAGTCCTGCTGCAGCTTTGGGTGAGATTGTGAATCCAGGCATGTCTGGCTAAAGCTTACATCCTCATCACAGCACGCTCACTGAGAGCGCATCGCTTGATTCTCGTCGCAGGTTTGCCGGGAAGGATACTGCATGTTTTTATACACCTCAGACATATGGTTTATGTTGATGCCACGCATTGTATAAATCATGCAGCATTTCCATTCTCATGACCTTCCAGCGCATAAACATCCTTCAGTCACAGTCCACAATCCAGTGGTCCCGCATTTCTGTTCCTGGTCTGGATGAAAAGGGAGCGGATCGCGAAGCGGCTGTTGGGGTCAGACTCCGCAGGGACTCTGATGAGTTTGCCCGACACACATGGTGTTACTCAGCACACAGCACATGTTTGTTTTGTGGGTGCTTTTGGGGGGATTTCTTTTCTATTTGAAGCAGGAACTAGTTAAATTTTTCAGGGGGAAGAGACCCCAAAGAACCCAAAAATAAGCAGGACAGAAGAGCAGAGTGTAAATCTCTGATCTCCATTTGTACAATCTCATTACTTCATCTTCGTTGGCTCTAGTTGTCCAGATGCCGCAGTGAGACAGTGCTGAGTGGGATCTTTGGCCTATAAAAACGATGCAACTATCCAACTAGGGTGTGAGTCTTAATCCTTTGACCCCCCCCCATGTTTTAAATGTCATCCACCACCCTGACTCATGGGGGGGTGAGGAGAGGCCCATAGAAAGCCATTTGGCCAGCTGTGTCTGGCTTCTGAATCTTCAGCTCTTTTCCTGCTCCTCTGTGGGGATTATTGTCAGGGTGGGGAGAGAGAAGGAGGGATGGAGGGAGGGAGCTGTTATTCATGCACACGGTGACATAAATCTAAGTAACAGTGGCAACACACTGCCGGATGGCAACTCACTGCCGGATGGCAACACACTGCCGGATGGAAACTCACTGCCGGATGGTAACTCACTGCCGGATGGCAACACACTGCTGGATGACTGTGGAGTTGCTCAGCAAGCTGAGTCTCTGCGCCTGTGATCAGAAACTTGCCAGGTTGAGCCCCGGCTTTGGCAGAACAGTAACATGTCTGTGGACCATTGATCAAAGCCTCTGATCCCCAGGGGCAGATAAAATAAAGCAAATAAAGGGCCTATTTGCAGCCTGTCCATCAGGGTAGAGTGGCAGCCTTCACTCATGTACTATATGGACAAAAGTAGGTGGATGTCCCTTTTCTTTAAGGCAAACCTACTGCTAATACAGGTGTAACCTACTGCTAATACAGGTGTAACCTACTGCTAATACAGGTGTAACCTACTGCTAATACAGGTGTAACCTACTGCTAATACAGGTGTAACCTACTGCTGATACAGGTGTAACACACTTCAGCAGCAGAATGGGTGGTTGTGCTGGAGAAGTCAGTGACTTTCCATTTGGCACCATCATAAGATGGCATCTTTACAAACCAGCAACTTAGCGACATCTAATGAAAGAAGAATCCAGAAGAATATAGGCTATTATAGCAACAATGGGACAACTAGCTTCACATTGATAGCCCTTGGTTTTGGGAAGAGATGCTGGGCACGCTGGTGCTCACATACTGGGGCATATGCTGATCGCTGTGTGCAGAAGCTTGGAGAGCCGCTCTGAAAGGCAATATGCCATCGCAGCAGTGAGATCTATCCCCGCATCAGGCACCTCTTCCAGCTCTGCTCCCGCTCCAGCCTTAAAGTCCCTCCCCCAGCCAGCAGAGGGCGGCCTCTACGCTGCCGCATGTTTGACTTGGCTGCCTGCTCTGACAGTTCAAGGGGACCCTAATTCAATCACTGTATGAAGTTCCAAACCCCTGGATGTCCCCACTTGCGGAACAACGAACTCTCTGAGACCTGACCCATCCTATATATATAAAAGCAGGTTACAACCTGTTAAATAAGTGCTTTATGAAGTAGACAATATATATACAATATTGTTTTCCATTACTTCTTAACATCAAGCCATGATCTGATTTCTGTTTACTTTTCTGCAAGCCAGGATCTGATACGAAATGATTTTTTTTTCAAATGTTCAACGTGTGTGTCCTTTGACTTTTTAATATCCTGTACAGTCCTCTTTAAAAAACCAACAAACAGTCTGTAGAAACATGGAATTCTAGTTGACTCGCATTGAAGGACAGACATGTGGTATGTTCTTTATTGTCTAGTCCAGTGGGTGTTTGGGTTGAAAAGAGACTGGAGCTAAACCGTGGTCTTGCTGGGGAGACGGTGGAATTTTCATCCCCCATGTAGCAATCTCTCGTTTTAACATTAAGACCTACAGTAACTATTTCGCAGACAATTTTATGCTCAGCGACATACAGCTGATGAAGGAGGGTCAGCCAGTCTCTGGATTAGTTAGGGTTAGGGTTTGGGGTTAGGTTTAGGGTTAGGGTTAGGGCTTTGCTCAAGGGCCCAACGGCGATGTGATCAATCTGGTACCCTTCCTAACCCACAGAGCCACACATCACCCTATTTTCATGTAACACTGTTCCTCTTGTCCTTCACTCCTTATTTTTTGTCTTCTCTAGTGCGATGATGAAGAGGACACTGAGGTATGCGTGTGCGTGCGAGTGCACAGGGTGACGTTTGATATGCATGTAGAGTGGTCTGGGTGTGTGTAGAGCAAATGTATGATCTTGAATGCAAACTGAAGTTTTCTGTGGTAACACTAACCCTTTATCCCCAAATGCTAAGTGTGAGGTGCTGTGTTTGATTAAAAAAATACTCACAGCTGTGTAAGTAACGAGAGACTTTAACTGTCATGGAATCCGGAATATAAAGTCGTGAAAGGAAACGTTGTGTCACTGTCTCCCATTAAAAATGACACTGGATATAGTTATGTTCATTTGGACTTTTTCATGTGTTATTTTGTTTATTTAAAAAGAAAATGTACCATGAACTGTCCCTGACATTCCTTGTGCCGGAAGTATAATATATCCAGTAGATGGCACCAGAGAGCCTTCAAATGATTATGTTTAGTGAGGACTGTATTGGAAGTTGTATAACGTGTGAATACTAATTTATTTAAAACATGAACACATAGTCTTTCGATCATGCACTAATTAGGCAGAAATGTCAGGGATATTGAACAGTTTAACAACCTAAATCGTTTAATATTGTGATTAATCTTCTAGCCAGCAAGTGAACTGGTCACTGATTAGTTTCTGTCTCTGCTTTCTTACCTGTCCCATGTGCAGAACGGTAAATTTGGCACCACTTCGGCAACTGCCCCCGAAAACCAGCCCCAGGGCCTTCAGTACACCGAGGATGCCAAGGAGCACGAGCACATGAAGGCAGTACTGAAGAGCAGCCTGCAGGGCGGCGACTGCGAGGCCTCTCTTCTCCCGGGGCTCCGGACGCGCACCCGAGCCTCCAGAAGTGAGCCCATCGTGACGCACTACTCGCACGTTTGCTGAAAGCACCTCCTGCACTGCGGTTATTCCTACAGTCTTTAGATTGTCGTGTCTCTCCAAAAATCTTAAGAAAAATCTTAGGAGCATGATGAATCACATTTTCTCGGAAATTACTTTTACCAAATAAACCTAAAAGAACACAGTGAGGCCCCCTTACACCACAAATAAAAACCTTTTAGGGTCTCTCCTCCCTGAAGTCTCTACACAGCTGTCACTGAACAGTTTAGTGTTTCAAATAGACTTACATGAATTGTTGTCAGCGAATGCAGACTTTTAATTTCCCTTTCATTCTTATCATACAATCCAATGCCTCATGGTTAGTTTGAGCCTTGTCTCCCTATAATACAAGCATACGGTAGATTATCAACAGCTAGTCTAAATGTTCTATGGACATAATCAGTTCTCTATCCTATTGTACATTTACCAGCACACAAAGATCTTCTAATGAGACAGATAGATAAAACATCTTTTCATTCATCAATTAGATGTCAAATGTTATCAGTAGACATAGGGAAATGGGCATATTACATTTACAAAGTCAAAAAGTGGAGATATGCAATTTTTGTCGGACAGCGAAGATATATTTGATATAATCAGGCTGTAATGAGCATCATACTCCCACACTAAGATTATGAACACCCCCATCCCCCCCAACCACCCCCACCCCGCAGGCCGAATGGGCTCCTGGTCTGTTGCGAACGAGGATAACCCAGTCGTCACGGAGGATGCGGCGGATGAGATCATGGAGCAAATCGTGAGGTCCGCCACGCAGGGCCCGAGTCAGCGCACGCAGCCGCGCGAGAGGAGGCGGTCCCGCGCCAACCGCAAATCGCGTAAGTTGGGGGAGGGGGATGCTGTGATTCTGGGACAGCATATATTCTGAGCCCCTTGTGGCTTTTGAGCACTTTTCCGTGTCTGCCGCTTTGACCCAGCATGTTCCTGCATAGTGCAAAAGGTAACCAATGAAGTCCTCCGATGTACTAATTAGGTTACTGAGACATTGTCCAACTGCTGGTGAAAATTTGGTGAACAATGTGTCTAAGGCATTTTTTCCACTGACTGAAGCATTTATAGGGAGATTGATCCTATTAGCCATTATTATCCCATAAGCTGCAGTAATAGCGTTGTGTAATGATGCCACCGTCCTTCGTCTCTGCAGTGAGAAGGACGCTGAAGGGGGGCCTGACTCCAGAGGAAGCCCAAGCACTGGGTCTCATCAGCAATTCGGAGATGCGGGTCTGAGGGGGAGGAGCAAGTACGTAATCATCCAGGGGACGCCCACTCATTGGCTCCTTGGCCTACACCCTGCCCCAGCCTCCTGGAAGCCACCTCCCCCCGTGTCCCTGTCATCGTTCATTGCCTCTGAAGTCATTGTCACACCTTTTTAGTGTGCTGTGCCCCCTGGCCCCGTTCGTTCAGGGGTGAAAAAGGAGACTGTGAAATCACTCTCTGGTTAAATGGGGTGAAATGAAGCTGTGAAACAGCCTATTAGAGATAAGCCTTTATTTTTCTACACTACGTTATTTGCTTTGCCGATTCCCCAGCGTCTGGGTGACGACTATAATTTCTCCCTGTAGCTGGATTGTTGTTGGAGTAACTGAGGTGATGTACTATTCTCAAGGGTACTACGACTCTCAGGTGGAAAGGCCAGTGTTCAGACGAGTGCCACACACAAGGCCCATGTCCCATGGCATTTCGCGGGATTGGGATTGTTAAGGTCCGTTAGGCTGGGTGTCCATAGCTGAAGTGTTTACAGTATTTACCTGAGGTCGTTCCTAGACTAGCACCGAGTCTGGAAGTAAGGAACTCTCAACCGTTCTGTTGATTGTTGCTTGAACATTGAAAATAATATTTTAATCTGGGGATCAAACACGCCCTTGGCCTGGGATGATCTCTGATGATCAGTCAGTTCAGTTGGCTGTATGTTGTACCACCATGTGGTTATCTTCTAAAGAGTGTAATAATATTTCACACCAAATCAAGTGCTTTATGTTAGTAAGGAAAAGGTTAGATAGGAATCAGGAGGAAGTTCCTTGATAGGTACAGTAACAACACAAAAGTCTACCCTGAACTTAAAGAGCACCTGAGACCTGCATCTCAACTCTATTACGGTGTTTTCTTTTTTCCTAATTGAGAAATACTTTGTATGTGTACATATTACTGTTGTGTTTTAAGGTGGAAGCTTATCTACTCTTTTGGAAACTGTGAGAAAGGACTATTTGCTGGAAAAAAGGTTGTTTGAAAAGGGATTTGTTAGGGAACAATTTTACATGGCAGGAGAGGCTCGGAAAGTTGGGCTATTTTTGTTGACATTTTATACTACAGTCTTAAATGCAAAAGGTATGTTAGAAAGTGACAGAAATGTTAGAAAAGCACAAAATGTAAGTGAAAGAGTGTTTCAGATGTGAATCACGCGGCATGCATACGCGCCTGCAGCTAACGTGTAGGTAATTCTGGGCCACAGTGGACAGTTTGCCCCCCCCGTGGTCAAATCCGCAGAGCATGACTGAGATTATGGAGCTTCGTCTCATGAAAGCTGCACACCGGTGACATTCTGACTGAGATCCGTCACAGTGATGTGACAGAAAACGCGCACCTCCATGCTTTACGTGATGCATAGCAGGGGTGTAACGAAAACACTTCTGCGTGGAAAACTGGGAAAATGCTGAACAAAAAAAAAAGTTTCATCTGCTGTTCGTTATGTCGAGTACGTTGTGTTTATTTTTATTGTACTTTTCCATTGTCTGTTGTCTTTTTCCACTTATTTTGTTTTGTTTAAACGTAAACAGGTATGGAGCTGAAACTTGGGTTTTACTACATGGGGGGTTTCAAACACTGCAAGCTCCCACTTTGAGCAAAGGCTTGAATTTGGTCGCCTCATACTGTGTTGCCATGAAATACATGATTGTATGAATCAAAACCAAGATGTTGGGGGAGATGGATTCATTTTTGATGATACTCAAGCATTGTCTTACACTCTATAGCGGTTATTAGGTAGTTAGGTATTAGACATTTGATAGTGAATTTGGAGAACTGTGACCCAGACCCAGCATGGATAGCGGGGGTGACGTCATCCTCGACCCTCGATGGAGAGGGTCGCCGGGCAGCTGAGTCAGAAGCTGCTCTCGAACCCAAGGACGATTGGGAGGTTCATGCGGACCTTAAGTATTCAAACATCAGGAAAGATTCTTTTAAAAATCATAAATGAGCTGTGTCCCTTGAAGGGCTTCAGACAAACGAGTGCCTTTCAGAATGAACTTTCTGTATTTATTCAGTCGCATTTCAGGGAGAAACTCAAGCGGATGTAACGTCGCGTGACGATAGAGCTGCTCGAACACTCTGCTCTCACATTCAGTAACTGAAACCCTGGAGTCAGACGCTGTCAGAGAAGCTGACCGCCCCCAAATCATGTAACAGCGGTGCCCATCTTCAATCCCCCTAACCCTAACCCTAACCCCCACCCTCAGTTATACGATACATTCAGTTACACCGCTGTAGTGTTTTGGTCAAGAAACAAAGCCTTTTGACAAGAATAGTTCTTCCAAACATTTTGAATGATTATTTATCACAAAGATTTGCTCACAACTTGGACCCGAACTACATTTCGACATGTAGCTTGATTCAAAAGGCACTACGAGTCGTTCTTTTTGACTTGTTTGTTGAAAGTAAAAAAAAATAACTGTAGTATATACAATACAGCACCTTATCTACCAGTTGTAGCATGAGATTTCTATTGAAAATGATAGTATGGATATTAGAAAAAGTTGAATCTGTAAAGTTATAGAAAATATATAAAAAACAAAAGGATACACACTGTAAAAATATGTAAATGTTACACCATTGTGTTTTTTTGTTCATGTTTTCTGTAGCATAGTGTATTATAGGCTAATTCAGTAGCAGTTTCATTCTGTGAATTGTAATTTAAGAAAGCCTGCATGGTTAAACTAATAATTATCTACAGGGGCAAACCTCGCCCCAGTGACAGAGGAAGGCTCTTCGACGTGTGATGTCAGTGTTCAGTGAACATCTGCTTTGATTAAGTTGTAGCATCGCTTTCACTCCTCACAGACTTGAAGTGAACTTTAGAAAAATGTCAAGACTCACCGCCTATCATTCCGGTGAAGCCTTAGCAGTGTTTCAAAAATAAAGGATTAAAAAAGGCAAGCTGATCTCACCAGTCCGGTGCCATGTGAAGGCTGCACAGGGGATGGGCAAGGATCCGACATAACAGTGAAGCTGTTCTGCTTATATATGCACCACATAACAGTATGTATACACAACTCGCAATAAAAATCTGTAATAAACCAGTAAAATACCTTCTTGTGTGTTCTGCATAATTATTAAATATCACTACTTATGAAATAGCATTTAGTGCCCTGCAGCAATGGCTGGGAGATCCTGTCTCTAATTAATTTACTGGTTTTGACATGATATTATATGCGTATTATTATGCATTATGGATTTTTTTGCCTATATTTACGTCTTGAGTATAACATTTTCATATGAAGCATTAGCGACAGGGCCTACTTTTTAAAATGCATTACTGTGAAGATGATCATCTCATTCAGCTTCTCACTATTAATGACAAACTGGGCACCAATTCGCAAACTTCTTAACAAATTGTGTGGGAAAATAAAAGTAAATTTGTGATCAAATTAGGGCTGTCAGATGATGATTTTTTTAAAATCACAATTAATGGCATAAATGGTGATAAATGGCATTTTCAGTCGTGCATATTTGTTGAAAATTAGCTCGAAAGTACTTAGAAACAATCTCGCACTGAGATAAACTCAGAGCAGACTTAAGTACTGACAGAATAAGAAGACACAGGTTTGACTAAGACCAGGCGAATTACCTCAAAGAGGTAATACACAAAATGAAGAAATAATCGAGGAATAAAGAATCCACAAACTGCACATGAAAAGGTGCTTAACTTTCATTAAAGCAATGAGTGATAAACTAATGAACCAAGCTGACAGCAAAGACCAGGAAAAGAAAACACAGAAGGTCAGAGAAAATTAGCGGCACCCCGCTGTCGACCTCTAACCTTAAGTTAAATTTATGCACAGATTATTCATTTTTAACAAAAAAAACTAGGCTTCAGGGTTCAGGGTGAATTCCAAAGTTTTAAGAAACATGAACAGATGGCAGTAAGAAAAGAGAGGACATTGTATTAAAAGAGGAGATATGAAATGATTTTTTTTATTGCACACCTTCTTAATAGAAACTATTTAATCCCAATCACATGATCAACCCCACCCTACCCGCTCGGAAAATGTTATGGGGGGCAGTGGACCTTACCATACCTTTGTGTGATGAAATTTGACGAACCCCAGCATGTACAATCATAAATTGTAAATCTAAAAACTGTTTGGCAAAAAATTGAAGCCTGACAACCATTGAAAGTGCACTTAATTTCTGGAGAGATCCCTTTTTAGAGTAGTAGCTTTCAATAAAATAAAACAAATATTGCAAATTACAACATATTTACCTTATGCCTGCTTCCATCTGGCATTTGTTTTAAATGAAATTAACCACGTAACAAAGTTTCCTCACCACCATCAGCTCTGCTGCGAGATTGAATGTTTACATTTTAGCTGTGAATTCTGGGATTTTGTGCAACATCACAGCTGAAGCTCTCGCATTGTTTACAACCAGGAAGAAATATTATATGTCGCTATTAAAAATCTTTTCTCATACTATTTAATCGTTTGGCTATCAAAACACTGCATGCGTTAACGCAATTGAACAAATAACACACTATTGCTTTAAAATAAATGCATTAATATTAACTTAACATGTTAAGTTTCTCAGCCCTAGAAATACAGTAAATCTTAAAAATCTAGCGTTGTTCAGTGCTGTCCATTCTAGTAAACCTTTAGTATCAATTCAATAGAGAATTTTAAAAAGAATATTTCCCAAACCCCGTCACTGAAAAGATTACACTATAGTCCCAAATAATTTTGATTTGTAAAAAGTGATTTTCTTTGTTAAAGTACATAACATGCAGTGTCTACGGGTTCCTCTGTCCACTGTCTCCTTTGTATTCCTGAAAGGATTTTAATGTCCTGATGCTGTCTGCTAGCCCTGGGTCAGGGGGTCATACCCTCCCAGAAATGCTACTCTTGACATCAGTTATCAGCCTGATTTAAGGTCACATTTAACCGCAGACCCACAGGGATGTGATCGGTCAAGCCGGCCAGGTGCGTCACGAAGGAGAACTCCTCCACCTCCTGTCAGAGAGAGACAGCACAGATTAATGGTTCCGAAACAGCTCCATTTGCGCTATTCCACCACCAAACAATCTGATTAAGCTATCATAAAACCGGCTGACATGTCATTTGTGCAGGATGCAGATGAAGCTGATGGTCTGGTTGGGAAGGTCACGTACGGTGTGGCAGTGTCTGCTGAGAGTGCTCTCCCGATACAGGATGTAGTCGATGCGCCTGCCCACCCAGGGGTTCCCACTATCAGGGTAGACAAGGGTACAACCATCCAGAGGCACAGGGGCGGCGACATACTGCCTCCGCAGTTCCTCCCACTCCAAGGTCCTGTTGGGAGGGGAGGGGGGGGTAGTTGATGTGATATTTTGACAACACTCAGAACCTTTGTTGACGAAGCGAACTCCAGTTTTTGATGGTGGCTTACTTCTGAAGGTTTTCCGGGGTCCTCACATCGTCATCATATAGAGTCGGCTGTTCTAGCAGAGTGCCTGCATTAAAAAAAATTATATGAATAGGAATTCCATTCTTGGTTTATAAAAGGATATTGCGGGAACATTTAATTGTTTATATGGGATGGAAAAAATGTGGATACATCAATGACTGAGGCTATACCCGACTAAATATACAAAGAACCAGTCAAAGGAATAGAGTCGTGCGCAGTAAATCTGAATTGTCTGATGGCTGAAAAAAGTGTGCATGGACCTGTGAATGGCACCCCTGAAAAGTGTGCATGGACCTGTGAATGGCACCCCTGAAAAGTGTGCATGGACCTGTGAATGGCACCCCTGAAAAGGGATGCTGCTCTGGTGTAGGAATATCATTGTCTGCTGACCACAGACACAGTTGTCTCTGCAGTTTATCACTGAGCACAGGAAACTTCCACCAGTGCCAGTGAATGAGCATCATATGGCATTGAATGACAAAAGAATAACTGTACTAATAGTACTTTCGCTTCAGTTAACACTGGAGCAAACTGACAAACTCTCGTGAATATGGTTAACAGATATCATCTCATATTCCAACTGAAATGGATTACCTGAATTACAGAGTTACAAAGGAATTTTGAAGAAATAAATCAAATATCTGCATTGTATTTCTTTTCAATAAAGAAAGGGGTGTCATTGTTTTGTTTAAATAATAAATACAGAATTTTTGCTGTGTGTGAGTATTATATAAATTTCATGGTATTTGAGGAGACCTTAAAATCAATCAAAGCAAACTGATTTATTGGACAAATTATTTATCCAGCGATAAGAGCTACGGATTTTTAAGTTCCAAAATAAGGGACAACCCTATCAACCTTGTAGTGTATACATACTGTATTATATGCGTGTTGCAGAACTTTCAATTTCAATCAGGTACACTCTATTAAAAGCACTTTGAGATTTTTGGTAATGTAAAGTGCAGTATAAATAAAATGTATTATTACTATTATTATTATTATTAAAAACCTAGACAGATACCCACCAATGGCCAATCAGGTACACTCTATTAAAAACCTAGACAGATACCCACCAATGACCAATCAGGTACACTCTATTAGAAACCTAGACAGATACCCACCAATGACCAATCAGATACACTCTATTAAAAACCTAGACAGATACCCACCAATGGCCAATCAGGTACACTCTATTAAAAACCTAGACTGATACCCACCAATGGCCAATCAGGTACACTCTATTAAAAATCTAGACTGATACCCACCAATGGCCAATCAGGTACACTCTATTAAAAACCTAGACTGATACCCACCAATGGCCAATCAGGTACACTCTATTAAAAACTTAGACTGATACCCACCAATGGCCAATCAGGTACACTCTATTAAAAACCTACACTGATACCCACCAATGGCCCATGGCTTCTCCTTGCCGGGTCCAGCCCTGCAGGGGTCTCTGTAATCCTCGAACACACTGTGCTTCTGCTCCAGGGCATCATCTAACCAAGGACACACATCCACAGTACATGAAGTCATCATCTAAAGTGCATCACTGCATGACACTGCTTTTGGCAATCAGTTCCAGGACTGCATTAAGACACATGGAGCACGACTGTCTGCAGGAACGCAAACTCTATGCAGAGGATTTCAAGGTTGAAGATACTGGCGTGAGAGTTTTTCTTGGCATTTACACATGCAGCTGGAAACACACACAGTGAAAGATGAGAGGATGGACGGCACAATCGCATACTGGGAGAGCAGTTGTCAAAGTTAAAGTCCCCACAGAGGATGTCGAACGCCACTTCTTCATCAGCCTGCCGGGTCTTCGCCTGGAACTCCCTGATCCACGACGTCAGCATGTCCATTTGTTCGTATCTAATGGCCCCATCATCTGCCAGAGACACGGCGAAGTGCCCAGCCAGTAAATAAGGCTGCATGGACACCTCATCATGTGACGCTAGGCACCTCATCATGTGACGCTAGGCACCTCATCATGTGACGCTAGACACCTCATCATGTGACGCTAGGCACAGGACACATTAATGCTGACAGGTAAAGAAATACACTACCTTCAGGGGCATGGAGATGCGTGCAGTTAACATATCCAACTACGTTCTTCTGTCTTTGATTCTGACCAATCAGCACCTGGGGAAAAATACACACATACTAGGTCTTGGAGATCAAACATTATGCAAATAAATGTGAAATATTTACATAATCAATAGCAAAAATCCAAGTTTGAATTTGTGAAGGTTTATGTAGGCTGCTATTGGTCAGGTAGCAGGCTTCTCCTCACTTCTACTTTGAGTAGCACTTCTCGCCTAACACAGAGTAAGGGATCCACCACTAGGGGCAGACTTCTGCAAATTTATCCAGCTAGCCAGAATGGCTGCAAAGAGCCAGCAAGAAAATGTGAAATAGTGTGTGAAGCATAAGAGGAGTGTGATGATATAATAACACCCCCCCCCCAACAAATTTTACTTAAGTACACAGATTTTAAAATAGGGTGGTTAGCAGTTCGAGTCTCTGCCAGGGTTCCATGTGTGTTGAGTCTGCATGTCCCCCCGTGTCGTCGTGGGGTTTCCTCCGGGAACTCCGGTTTCCCCCCACAGTCCAAAGACATGCTGAGGCTAATTGTAGTTACCAAATTGTCCATAGATGTGGGTGTGTGTGTGTTTGTGCGTGTGTGTGTTTGTGTGTGTGTTTGTGTGTGTTTGCGTGTGTGTGTGTGTGTGTGTGTGTGCGTGTGTGTGTGTTTGTGTGTGTGCGTACGCCCTGTGATGGGTTGGCATCCCATGCTGGGCTGTTTCCTGCCTTGTGCCCATTGGCTCTAGACCCTGAATGGGATAAGTAGTAACAGAAAATGAATGAATAGTTTTCAAAATACCAGAATAACATCAAAATATGCTACACCGTGGTATAATGTCTGGTAGTATGGAAAATTAGACTAGATATAACCTAAACCAAAGATTGTATGATTTCTTTAGGTTTTACGCTACTTTACGCACATACGCCGGTGTAGCTGTCTAATGTCAATCATTTGATATTTTAATGTCACAACTTAGATGACTTTTTTTCCTGCTGGCATTTCTGTCCTGTGGATAGCTAAATAAATAAAAATGTGTTATTGTTACATTATTGTCTCCTCGTCATTTTCTTCACTTGACAGTGGTGGTGTAATGTTACCGGTTTCACCTTTCACGGTCAGTCGCACACAACGGAGTTTAGGCTACTGCGCGGTGGTGGTATGATTGTGAGTAGCAAAATAAATCCGACACGTTTAAACCTGCAAAATGCCTAAGAAATACTGCCAAAATAAGCTTTTTGGGAATATTAAGAAATCCTTATATCGAACAATATTTTTTATAAAAACATAGGGTTCTGTGTGAAGGTCTCAGAGAGTAATAGAAAATGATGTTTATATGATATTCATGTTGGCGTAAAGCTGTGTTATTATGTCTGTCGAGGTGTATCAGCTTAGCCATTTTGAAGTTTCCCCTAATTAACGTCACCCCGGGATTTTTTTTGAATTAGGTGATCAGTGGTCATTGTCAACACACCACAGCACACAGCGCGCAACAACGAAATGTGTCCTCTGCATTTAACCCATATGTGACATAGCAGGGGGCAGCTAATTCAGTGCCCGGGGAGCAGTGCTTGGGGGCGGTACCTCGCTCAGGGTACCTCAGTGGTGCCTTGCTGGTTGGGGATTTGAACCTGCAATCTTGTGATTACAAGTGCGCTTCCCTAACCATTAAGCCACTATCCCATGTACCCTCATGATGACTGGGGCAGCCCTGAGGGGAGGCTTGGGAACTGAAGCGATGTTCATCTACCCATCCAACAGATATCAGTGACTTTACGGAGAACTGAGGAAATTCTTTTTTGTTTGCATTGTGTCACTGTTAATTTGCATATGTTCTAAATAGGGGTGCAATTTCAAATCCACGATTCGGTTCAGACCTCAATTTTTGGACCACAGTTTGGTTCATCCTTTTTTTTTTTTTTTGGGGGGGGGGTAAGAAAAGACGGGGTAAAATGTCTTGATTTTCTAAACCACCAATAATTTGGAATACTATAATATAACAATATTGTTTGCTACACGCCTGCCATCCCTAAACTCCCTTTACTAAACCCAATGTGAGCCCTTGGGGTCTGCAATCTGAGGTCTATTATACATCTTGAGCTAATAAAACTAGCCTAGCTTTTGCGGCAGGCGTGATCGCTCAGGTTGGGGTGGTCATGGTTCCATCTTCCAGAACCGTGATACGAGATTGGGAACAGCTGTATCACGGTTTCAGTCTCCATTTCAGACCCGTTGAACCATTAGTTTTAGTGTTAAAATGTGTTTTTTTCTGAGCAAATACACACTTACTACCCCGATAAATAGCTTTAAACATTTTCTTTGCCTGCCTAAGATTTTGCGTAGTACTGGACATTTCATAGACCCAGCTCCTCAGAACGTGCTTCTCCGCAGGACGAAGGAAGACGCTCACCTTGGCGGTGAGCAGCCCTTTGGCCGCCAGTGAATCCTCCCCCCGGCCGTTGGGGAAGCAGAAGTACTGGGCCTGCAGGAAGGGGTACCGACTGGCCAGGAACAGGCCGCTGTTGAGGAACTTGAATGCGGTGCAGCAGCCGGGCGGCCAGCAGGCATAGACGCCCACGTCGTAGAGGATGTGCCCGAAGACGGGACTCAGCGTCTCCGACAGCTTCGCGGCCGCCTGCTTGTCGAACACCTCTTCAAGACACAGGAAGTCAACGTGGGCAGGAAACCAAGCGGACACCTCCCAGGGCACGTCGCTTGTCTGCACAGCCGGCTTTGCGTGCCCCTCTGCCTGGTTGCCGTTATCCATATCCGTGGACGAACAGAAACCGTCCGCATTCTCTCCATGCATGGTGACCATTGTCTCCCCAGAGTTGCTTTTCGAGATGGCGTCCGATGCCACGTCCTCGCCCGTGCCCCCCGCCAGCGGAGACTGCATCCGGACGTCGACGGACCCATAACAGGAGGGGGTTGGCTGGCTAAGCAGGCTGTCTGAAGGGCCGAGGCCGTGGGAGATGATCGGTGAGTCCACCACGATGCGGATGCGGGGCCGACTGACGGCCTGTAGGATACGCCGCCCGATTATAGCCGCCCGGAGCTCCGTGTTTGCCAGGTTGTTGAATCGTGCCAGGCTGTCCGGCAGGAGGCACAGGTTGGCCGTGACGAACATGAAGGTGCCCCTGTCGTCCCTCTGTAGCCACCCCGAGCGTCCCTCCCCATCCTCAACCTCTGTTTTCCGCCGGTAGTAGGAGAACGGCCTACGGATTCTCTGGAGGGGCACCCAGACCAAAAACCCAAGGAGGGCGAAGGGAGCAAAGATCAGGAACAGGACCAAGAAGAGGATGACGCTGAAGACCACCTTCAGTGGGTGGAGGTAGCACTCCATCTCCGCCCGCTGAGCCCGCTCCAGGGTGGTGGAACGGCAGGCTGCGATGAGACGGTCCAGGGCCCAAAAGCAGGGCAGGATGAGGCCCCAGGCCACAGCATGAAGGCCCTGCGTGAGGCCGTTGGGGAAGGGGGACTCCCGCAAAGCCATAGCTCACCTCCCCGCGGTGGCAGCTGAAGGCCGCCGAATCAGCCGCCCCTCCCTGTGCTCATCGCAGCTAAGCCACCAACGCAGCACCACCACTGCAAACCTGACAATCATACAAAAGACACATTTTACATCCCTTCATTTCTCCATCCTGTCTTAAAATGTATACAAATGAACAGTCAACTATTAATATGCTTGGAGATTAAATTATACAAGAAGTTAAAAATACATTCCACATTTCAGGAAAGCAAACAGCCAACCAGAACTGGGTCTACATCGTTTACATTTATTTATAGTTAGCAGACGCTTTTGTGCAAAGTGACGTACGAGTGACGGCAAATAGCATGTGACAAACACTGGCTTATGTGACATCAACTAGGTATGAGTGCAGCAATGCTGAGCTTCCAAAGAATGTCCAGGTACAAATGTAAGCAGTACTGGAGTAAGAGCTACACAACATCGTCCAACAAAGCAAGAACTTAGTTAGGCTATTCAATAACCATAAGAACATTAATCGCTATTGTTAAAAAAGACCGAATTATTATCGTCTTCAAAAAAGCGACATGGTGGTTCTGAGGGCAACACTGTAGTCTGACGTCCCACCCTGGCTCAGTGTGCACGTCCTCAGGGGGTTCTGCTATGCGGCTTTTATTGTAGCAAACTTTATTTGCAAACGTGTGTGGAGAGTAGTGTGACTGTATCTCAGTCCATGTGTGCCTAATCAGATTTGTAAATGTATATCTATAAATGCATGCTGAGATTTTCAAGTATGTACAGGAATCTGTAAATGTGTATTCAGGGTCTGTGTGTGCATAAACAGATTTCTCAATGTGTAAAAAAAATTCTAAATGTATATTTAAATTAAATACATTTTCTCACGAGTATCTTGTATTTTATTTTGTTACATTCTTCCTACATGGTTCTATGGTTCACATCTTCTGTAAACGGCTTTTCTAAACTGCAGACCCCAGGTCAGAGCCCTGTCATGGATTACGGTCCCATCTAGCCTGCCTTGTGCTTTCTTAGGTTGGCTCAACAGGCTCTCGGCCATCCTCTACTGGACAAGCAGCTTGCTGGGATCGATAGGTAATATGCAGCTTGGTAAATTAATTCAGCCAAGAAAGCTGAATATTACACCACTTCATCCAGGTAGGGCTACGTGTGCAGGAGGGAGCAATTAGGAAGATTAACCTTTCGCGGGACTGAACAAGCCAGCCGCACAAATAGCAAACGAGCATCTGCGGCACTTGTTCCTAAGTTGGCTCCTTGACAGCTGTGAACGGCCCCGGTGGGCAGGCACCAGGGGTAAAGTGCACCCTGGAGGTGAAAATCGGAGCAGCAGTGGCTCGAGACCACCACACAGCAGAGGCAGGATGAGGCTGACAGGGGGAGGGGAGATAACGGGATTCGGTGGGGAATGACCAGCCCTGGATAGGATGGGGACAGAGGACGAGCCGTAAAGAGGCAGAGCAAGGTGAGACTGGAGTTTATCAGCCCTGGACTTTTGCCCAGACAGACCCACCACATGCAGTCTGGCCAGAGTGTGGGCCTGGGCACTGTTAAGGTAATATGGCATATTGCGTACAGCGTACACCCATTCTGTAAAATATATCGTGCACCTCCACAAATCTTATCATGTGGAATACAAGAATAGCATTGCTTTCAAAAATGTCAGCAAAATACAGTGTACCTCGGAATAATGTTTGGAAGGTATGACAGCATGAAAAATTAGATACCGCCCAAGCGGTATTTCTGATGGCCTGGCATCCTGTCCAGACCTGCAGTGCCCTGTACTTCCTATAATAGGCTCCCTGCAACCTGTAATGCAGGGGCAGGCAGCCCTGATCCTGGAGTGCCGCTATCCAGTAGGTTTTCCATCCTACCTGGTCTCTGATCAACCACAACAGATCTCAGGCAGACAGAAACTCATCAGGTAGGATGGAAAACCTGCTGAATAGCGGCACTCCAGGATCAGGGCTGCCTGCCCCTACTGAATAGAAAACAGATAAACAGGAAGTTACAAGAAGGCTCCGAGGGTTTCATTACATTCTGGGAAGGAGGAGATGGTGGTTGGATCAACAGTTATGTCAGGAGAGAATTTAGTAACATATGGCTCATTCCATTTGAAAGAGACCATTTTGAATTCTGCAAAAAAAAAGGAAAATAAACACAAAAAGGGGTTTTCATGTCTAGTGATTTAAAGGGAAGAAAAAACAACTCATTCAGGTCTTGGAACCCTACCAAAAAAAACTGTTCTCTCTGACTGAGGTCCAGTTTTACACCCTGTGGGGAAAAAAGGACTACATTAATAACCCCAGTAAAATCACACAGAATGCTAAGTAAACCGCTTAGAGCTTCACAGCAGGTACACCAAAAAAGGTGCTGGTTAATGAACCAACACACCAGCAATATGGAAGTAGGGGTTAGGAGGCCTATTCCAAATGCCCAGATCTTCAGCTTGTGAAAGTTAAAGCGTAAAGTCAACACCCTAATGGGCATGACCCGGCCCGCACGGCCGAGCTGCGCTTAACTCCATCCCACCCATCTGAGCATTTATCAGTGTGTGAATGTGCAGCGTCGCTCTGCTGTGGCACGTCCGCGTTATACACCATGCATTTACAGGGAAACATCGCCAAATGCAGAATGTATAATGAAGCGATGTACCTTCGCATTTAATCTAACAAAGAACATTAAGGGGGGAATTACCATCGCCCTAGTTCTCATTTACTACCTATACTTATAAAATGAACCTTGCAAAGGAAACATTTAATAAATTGTTTAAGACGTCTAAACTGCGATGCATATTAAATTTACAATACAGTACGGTAATGATTCAGCCTTGCAATATGTGGGTAGAGAAACCTGATCGATACAACGCTAACGTAACCGGGACAGCGCCGACGGAATCACAAAGGGGCGAAGTGCAACTAGTACTGCAGGGCTGGTAACCTCATCCGCAAACGCAGATTACACGTAACTAATCCCGCCCCTTTGCTATCTAAAGGCGAAAGCGTTTCACGGACTGAGCCGGTGATTCGTACGCTGGCGTCACAAATGGGTGAACTAGCTAAGTACGAAACACCAGCACCCTTAACCAGTTACCGCTTTCATTTTTGTGCAGCTAACGCTACTCTGGGATTAAATTACCGGTTAATTAGCGACTGTGTGTAAACTAAGTACCAGGTACACAAAGTTAAAAAGCTCAGTTTCGGTCCATATAAGCAAATCGATCACACGCTTTAGACCCTTAACGCAAATTAAGGAGCAGTTAGGAGAGTCAGACTTCTCCAAAGATGCGATTTAACTCGCTGGCCATCTTATTTTCGTTTACGTGAAACACAGACACGAACCGGTTTGATTTTTTCAAAGCATTTTTAAATACCCAAAACACACCAAGCGGGCACTTCCCCGCTACCAACTGCACCTAATGCATATGTTACTGTTCCTATAATCTAACTCGCAAACTAACCCACGTCTCGCGCTGCAGCGTTAGTAGCTATCGCTAACTAGCTATACCTGCAGTCTTACCTGGGTACATTCCGCCGCAACGACTGAAACTCCTTAGATGATCTTTGTCCAAGTCGCAATATACAAGACTCATTTAAGTGGCATAGATATATTAACATCATTTACATTTACATCTGCCATACAATTCTGTTAATACTTCATTATTATTATTATTATTTAGGACGTGCACTCGTCCCATTTCATACAGCCAAGCATAAGCGCCGAGGTTAAGACTCGCTCCTCCCACCAGTCTGTACACCCGGTGTCCCGCGGTGTGCATTTGCACGGCACGGCACACCTTACACCTGTTGCAATATCTTTTGTATGTTACAAAACACTTGCCTTCGTAACAAAATAAAGCTAAAAGGAGAAAAGCTCCCAAAAAATAAATTAAGGCTGTTCTATATACCGTCTAGCGCCAGGATTCGCTCTCTACTCGGAAGTAGGAAACTTAACAATGACGATTTAAATGAGTCGTCGGACGTTCCCTAGTCACTGGGACAAATTAGTGATGCTAACGTGAATATCATATCAGAATGCCCCAATCAAATGCAAACACACACACACATATATATATATATATATATATGGACCGCCTTTAGCTTTGATTATGGTGTACGTTCATTATGACATTGTTTCCACGTGCTTATTGCGACATCTCAACATTTTTTTTCATCCAGATTTGCATTCATTTCTCTTTATCAAGATCTTGTATTGATGATAGATGAGTTGAAGCACTCTGTAGAGTCTTCTTCAGCGTATCTCAAAGGCTTTCAATGGGGTTAAGGTCAAAACTCTGTGGTGGCCAATTCATGTGTGAAAATGATTTCTCATACTTCCTGAGCCACTTTATGAAATTCAAGCCCAATGTATCTTGGCATAATCGTCCTGGAATATGCCCGGGCCATTAGGAAAGAAAAAATCCATTGATGGGATAACCTGGCCGTTCAGTAGATGCAGGTACTCATGCAGCTTACTTCACTTAAGCTGCATAACGTACGCTGCTGAGCTGTAATAATGATCCAGTCATTGGCTCTTAAGTACTTCCCGATTTAAATTTAAACGGTGTCCTTTTTTGGCCAGGCAGCGTAAAATCCCCTCGATAGCAATCTTGCAGCAATGCGGTTCTGCTATGCCTCAGCACAGAAGGAACAGGAATGGCCGTGACGTTTTACGTTCTTTCATTTGTATTGGTCAAAAAAAAGCTGGGAAGCTGCCGGCAGCGTCATACACGCCCCCATTCGTCTGAATCCACACACACAAATACACACCTGAATGATCTCAGGGAAGCTGCGCACGGTGAACCCATACAGGCTGACCTTTTCCTGAAATAGGACACAATTCTGCGGTCCGGCTGGAAGGCCGCCTCTCCCAACAGACGCTCCAGGTTCTTAGAAGTCAAGTCTACGAGTTAAGTGGAAAATAACAGGTGTATGTTACACCGGGATTTTGTTTACAGCAGACTGCGTTGTTAATCATAATATTTTAATGATTTAATATCACTGGATAAATAATAAGAACCGAAATTTGAATGAATGAATATTGTAAATGCAAATGAAAAATAAAAGAAACATCAAAATGAAATTGTGTTTTGAGTTTTAATAATTACACATTCTTGATCTAATTTCAGTAATTATGGCCAAATGTGTTTTATGTACACCTATTGGTACAGTTACTTCCAATCTAAATGTTTCAGAAGTATACCGTAAAAAGGCAGAATGCACGTGTAGACATGCATGTGCAAGGTGCCAAATTGATTACCTTTGGTGTAATGAGATGAGCGTGTCCTGTGAGGTCTTCATGGTGAGTTTTTCTCCTGTGAACGGAGCTCTGTCCTGAGGGTGCCGGGGGCGTGGCCTTGTGAGGTCTTCATGGTGAGCCTTTCTCCCGTGAACGGAGCTCTGTCCTGAGGGTGCTGGGGGCGTGGCTTTGTGAGACCCCTGGGAGGAAGTATCAGAGTCACTGACCTCACGGTTTTGACTAATATTCTGTGAGCACAACACACCGTAACTTTTGTTTATATCCATCTTAGTTTTGAGATTTCGTCTAAATAGGTGGAAATTGTTTTGTCACTGAAAGCGCTAAAAGGCGCCTGTGTAGGCATACGTTATGTATGATTTATGTGATGTCATCAGAAGAATACTTTTTTTAAAGCTGATGAAAATTAACCAAAATTACTGTAATAAGAAGACAATGGGACCAGGATTCTGTGACACACATCAGCATGACTGGACCATAAATAAATAAAGATGTGAATTAGAGTGTGAACACTGTCCGACACTGAGTGTCTAAAACGCTATTAATTAAATGTGATACAGCTTCCTGGGATATGGAGGGGGGGTATGGGGACTGACATGTCCCTGTCGATGTTCCCAAAGCAATGAAGTCATGTGCAAGTGCCTGTAAGTCTTTTACCATCCATCCCTCCATCTATCCATCCATCCTCTATACCCGCTTGTCACATGCAGGATCGTGGGGGTCCAGAGCCCATCCCAGAAGCTACAGGCACGAGGCTGGGAATAACCTAGATAGGGCCCCACCCATCACAGTTAATTATTATATTATATTATATTATATTAGAGTCTATACTGGAATTGGAGTGTGAACGCTGTAAGCAGGGGCATCATAGAGGGTGGGGGGTTTTGAGGGGGGGTTAGAATGATTCCAAGGGCCCCTGAATGACAGGGGCTCTAAACATCCTGGAACATAAACGGACTGGTGTGGCTTTGGGGCCCACTATGATGTCCTTTCCATCTCTAGCAAGTAGCCATGATGGTCCATATGTCTTATATTTTATCTTAAAAACTGCAAGGAAAGATTCTGATTCTCCTATAGAGGGAGCAATGGGGCTGCATTACACCATGATGTTTGATAAATAGTAATTGCGATGACTCCCTGGATAGGCTCCATGCTCACCCTGCATGGATGCGGTTTCATGGAAAATAGATCAAGAGATTGATAAATTTCAAATGCTTATTTTTCTGAAAGACATGTTATGCGTGGTCTGTAATAAAGCAAGTTTTTACTTATTTCTGTTAGCTATGGTCTTGATTATTGTGTGTAAAGTTACATTTTTATATTGAAAAAATCTCTGCAGTCCATGCATGGGGCAGGGGTACACCCTGGACGGGATGCCAGTCCATCAGGGGACACA